ACACTGTCTATGGACCCAGTCTGCAGAAATATTCAGATACACCAGCCACAAATATCACATTAGGCTCGCTCAAGAGGATCCAGGCCTGTGCAGAATCGATCAGCAGCCGCACAATGCATGCTGGTTAGATTTCTGCCCAACTTATACCAAAGAAAAGCGCTGATTGGCTCTCAGTTTTGACCACAAATGCCTTGTTTTCCTAATTTTCTGTGTGATTGTAATATTTTACCTCTAGATTGTAGCTGAATAAAGGTTTAAACACATGTTGTATAATTGATAATCAGGTTTATTTATAACAAACGTCTAAAAACTACAGGTAGACTACAGAGGGTCTGACGGGATGCAAACATGGATGCGTTAGTTCATCTAGTTTCATAAGAGAGCAGCTTTAAAACAGAGCCCAGTACATCCTCTGAAAGATGGAGCGGAGTGGAGGAAGTATAGATGATGAACTTCCTCTTCTGGAAACGTCAACTGACACTTCAAATGGGCTACAGTCCTCATCTTCTTACGTCTGTCATACGTGATTCTGGTCTTGATGTTGGAAAGGTCCTTCGCTGCATTAAAACTAAAGTAACGAGCCTGTTTTTGGAAAATGTAAGGAGTAGAAAATACAGACATTTGAGTATAAATGTTGTCATGAAAACAAAGTACAGCTACCTGAAAACGTACAGAAACAGTAGTTGTTATTTGTTCTTTCTTATTTTAAACCTCTGACTAAATGTTACACACTGGACCTTTTAGTATGATGTTAGTGATGAAGATTATTTAAAAATATTGCACTTTTTTGTAGAATTTGAGTGTTGAAGTGGCCCTCCAATAAGATTTCAGCAGCAGCCCCAACACAGACCCTCGATTCAGGTGAAGAAAAACTCCCCAAAAACTGCTTTTAACAGGGAAAACTGGAAGAAAAAGAAGATTTATTCTCCTCTGGAACTTAAAAAAACCTCTTTAGACCTTTAAAGTCGGTTTATTATCACAATATAAACATAAAAACATTGTTTTGTGATCACAGCCTTGTGTTTCTGTGGCTGCAATGCAACCAAACAGCCACTAGAGGTCAGAGTCTGACTGACAATGAGAACAAACACACAAAGAAGCATCAGAGCCATTGAAACTGATCTGAAACCAGAACTAATAATAATATAAAGTGTCAAATCATTAATTTCTCAACTGTGAAACACTTTAAATTATATATGAAGATATATATATTTTCCAGGAGTTTTCTACTTATTCATGTATTTATCACCAATTCCACACAGTCTTTAAACTTCAATTCTTTTGTTATAACGCCAATTCATACCGAAGTTATCCATCAGGACAGCTTTTCAAATAGAGCAAGGTCTAGACCGGAACTCCCTTCAAACTTTTACAGAACTTAAAAGCCTTTGATTTCTTTTAACTTGTGATAACAGCAGCAGTATATTCCTCAAGTCACGTAGTAGTGTCACTAAATTACTATACAAAATATAGTTTACCAACCCCCCAAAAAATAATTAGTTACGTTGCTTTTCTTGACAAAACAAGTAATTTAAATGTTTTATTCTGTTGTCAAAGTGTTTCAGTAAAGTCAATCGATTAATTTACGTTTCACACGACTTTATGCTAAGCTAAGCTAGCTGTCTGTGGTTTCATATTTATTGACATGAGAATGACATCAATGTAATCTAACTCACCAGAAGACAGCAAATGTTTCCCAAAATGTCAGAACGTTTGCTTTAAGTAAAGAGCTGGAGTCCGGGCCTGGTTAGCCTAGCTTAGCATAAATACTGGAAACAGGAGGAAAGAGCTACACCCTTTTTCTCTAATGTATAGATCACAGCTAGCATCTTAGAAGCTAGCTGTTTCCCCCTGCTTCCAGTCTTTATGCTAAGCTAAGCCAACCAGCTGCTGGCTGACGTAGTTTGAATATAATAATCAGAGTTTTATTATATGCATATAATAATCATTATTATTATATAATTTTTGTTACCTTAGAATGTTTTTATCTACAGAGGGGGCGGGTCCTCTTCTGGCGGACTCCGCCCTCTTGAATTCTACACACTGGCCCTTTAAACCCCCAAAAATGTTGAAGTATTCCTTTAATTAAACAGACAGATTGCTTCACACTGTCGACAGTTGCATCATTGCTTCAGTGTGTGTGTGTGTGTGAGATAACCATTTTCATATCTTCATACCCCCCAAGATGATAATAAAAAGAGTCACTGTCTTTCTTCTATATTATCAAACACATTCACAGGAAGTCAGAGGTGTAAAACAAAGTAAAAGAAAGCCAATCATTAATCAGAGCTTAGTGTGTGTGTGTGTGTGTGTGTGTCACTTACTCAAAGGTCTGTTTGTTCATATTCTGAGTAATATTCAGAAAATATTACAACATTTCAAAGCACTGTACAAAGTGTTTTACGGGGGAGTCGGTCCCAGTATCTACTAGTGTAACTAATTACTAATACATTTCACTAGTACATTTATTATAGTTACCTCCCAAAAAATAATTAGTTACAACATTTTCATAATCAAAGAGGAAACTAGTTTGGAAGACGGAAACATTCACATTATTTTTATTTTAACGAACAAAACTGGATTTTAACATCGTAATTTTGGAAGAGAAAGGACACAATTACTAATTTTGTAGGAAAAGTAATATAATTAGTAGTGTAACAGTAATAAGTAAAGAAATATTATTACTTTTAAAAAGAGCGCTTTAATACATTTTTTGAGTAACAAGCCCAACAGAAGGGACGTAGTTTCCTACAGACTGGTCCTTTAAAACAATAAAAATTATTCATCATTCATTGTTGTTCTTTTTTATTAAAGTGAGAAATTAACGTTCCCACATGTGAATTATAGTATTTTATATGTGAAATGTCCCAAATTCACATTTACCTTCATGTGAAAATGATTTCACATATAAACTGTAAAACCTATAAAACATATTTTTAAATAAACTTTATCCTCCTGTTAATTAAACCCAACTCAAACATAAATTGTTGAAGTAACTCAGTTGTTTTAAATGAACTTAAATGAGTTCAGTGTTTTAAATACAGGAGATATAATTACAGTTTGTTCCATTGACTCATTTTCTTTAAGTTGACTTTATATCATTATAAAATGTAAACTGTCCGATAAAACTTCTCATCAGTATGGATAATTTTTTAACGACGTCCAAAGTGTGAAGATTTGATGTGAGTCACATATAAAACAACGAGGCTATTGCATAACAACTTCATTACAGCAGCGTACTGAGTAGAGTTGTCAAACTGCTGGACGCTGCGATCGTGAAGGTCAATGTCGAGCTGCACCACCACACCGCTCTGGGCCCATCAATTCAGGAGGTTCCTCTCTGCCCTCTTGTACTTCGCCATGAGGCCTTCAGCCATCTTCCGAGACTCTTCACAGGAGGAACCAATGAGAAGAGGAGCTGGGGAGCTTTATTTAAGAAATTCAGGGAAGCTCCTGTGAGCAGAGGGAGTGCAAAGCGGACTTGCTCCAGACTCTGATGACTCTCTGTTGTAGAGAAACTGAGAACAAGCTTTCCCTCTTCCTCTACACAGGGATCAAGCTCAGGAGCCACAACCTGGTCAGTGAGATGCAGGTCTCAGAGGAGTCAGGTTGGTCTCTGGTCTGAGCGTAATGTTCAGTAGCACTGAAAGATTCAGGTGACTGGGCAAACTCCGAACCAATATGTTTGTCCCCAGCAGGAATATTTTAACAAACTACTCCTAGGGACTTTTGATCATCGCTGCTTGCAGCTTTAATTTTCTATTCTATTTTTATTTTATCTGTTGTGTTCTGTTGTATCTTGTGCGGCTGTAACAACGGAATTTGCCAGGTTTGGGATCAATAAAGTCGATCTTCTATCTCTTATTTCAATATGTGGGGTGAAATTAATATCACTCAGTTTGAGAAGATATCAGAACAAATTAATATAAAAGGAAGGGCTACGATGATGATTATAATGTGATCTACAGCAGTGGTTTCCAACCTGGGGGTCGTTTTTCAAAGAGATTCAGGGGTACAAGGGTTTTTTAGAAGTTCCAGTGGGTCTAGAGAAGGTTTCTTCAGGAAGGTTTGTAGGTCCTTAAAAAGTTTCCTGGAGAAGGTTTGAGTGTTTTTTAAGGAGCTTTCAGGGGTCCTTCTAGATAGATATGTTCAAGAACCAGAGCTAATTAGGTGGACAACTGTTTGGACCTTCACTAGGGGTCGCCAAAGCTTCACAGGGGGTCGCAAGGCCTTCTTGATTTTAAAGGGTGTAAGAAAACCTTTAAAGTCACAGTAGGCAGATATCTCAGCATTTTATTAATTTCTGTAATTTTTAGAGTTTAGATTATTATTTAAGATGTAAACTTTGCAGACCTGAACAAAAACTGTATTAAACAATCGTATTAGGTATCTACGATTGTTAGAAAAAGAAAATACACAATACAGAGAGAGAATTGTACAAAAAGTTCGTAAAAATATCAGGAAATCTCAATCACTATTTACAGGAAATAATCTGCTCAAAATTAATAAAAATCTCTGGTTTTACACAAACTTCCTCCAGTTATTGTTATTATTGAATATAATATAAATATGCATAAAATATAGTCAGTTTACTCTCTGATATTAAAGGGCTCCCTTAAGGATTAAAGTTGGGAAACACTGATATACAGTACAGGTACTAATATATATATATATATATATACTTCCTATTTTTTTTTGAACATTTAGGATTTAATTTGTGTTGTTTTTGAGGATAAATTCATTGAGTTTGTGTCATTTTAAAGTTATTTTGTATTATTCTTAATCTTTCTTCTCAAAATAAACATAAACAAACAAATAAAAGTGTTTTGCTTGTTTACGTTTAGGCATTTTTCTTTAGCTGTTCAACTGTTGTTACCACAGACAGAGGCAGAGACGGACAGACATACAGTGACAGAGGATATAAAAGTAAACGGGGCTGACACACTGTTGTAGTGTGAGGAGAGGGACTCACACACACACTCATTTACACACACACACACTCTGCTCCACGCGTGCAGCCTGGAAAGCGACCAAACTGTAGACTTCAACTCAAACAGTTTCTTATTTCTCAGTTTTTTGCTCTTTGTGAACCACTTTCAGTCCAGATTACATGAAGTTAATCTGAACTATTCCCAGAGACCAAAGAACCTCAAACACAACGTGATCCGGATCCAAAGCTGCAACTTTGTTTGTGTGTTTTTATTATTTCGGAGTTTCTGTTTTGTTTTTTCACTGGAGAAACTTTTTTTAAGCCATTAAACCGGGGAGGACATGCCGGGGTTTGTGGCTCTGGTGGCCGCGTTTGCAGTCCTCTCGGCCGGGTTAAGGAGCTCCGTGGCCGCGGTGGAGATGCAGAGCTCCGTGGCCGTGGAGGAGAGGACAGCGGCGGCTGCGGTGGAGACCTCCGAAGACGGGGACCGAGGAGCGGGGGGAGCTGGCTGCCCTGGCCGCTGTCGGTGCGAGGTGGACGGGCTGCTGCACCGGGTGGATTGCTCGGACCTGGGGCTCCGGGAGATACCGAGCAACCTGAGCGTGTTCACGTCTTACCTGTAAGTCAACACCCAGGGTTTATATTGCATTGGTTTATTTCTTAATCTGCACATAGTAAATAAACAGCAAGTGTGTGTGTGTGTGTGTGTGTGTGTGTGTGCATGCGCGTACGTGGATGTTACGCAGTCGTGAGAAACAGAGCACCTGTCCTCTGTTTATCTCTCTCGCGCGGTCTTGCAACGCGCGCGCATGTCATGTTGTTCATATGGTGGTTGAGGCGGTCCGGAGAGATTAAGTTTAACTCACTGCTGACATTAAGCTCAGAAAGAAAGAGACTGCAAGTAAGAGAGAGAGAGAGAGAGAGAGAGAGAGAAAGAGAGAGTTCTGAAACATTTGAGAACTTTTGAGCAGCTCCAGGGCTTCTTTAAGGGGTTTGAAAGTACCTTCAGGACGGTCTGCAGGTTCTTAAAGAGGGTCCTGGAGCCCTAGAAGAGGTTCAAGTGGTTTCTGAGTAGGTGTCAGGTGTTTGTGGTCCTTAAAGAGGTTCCACAGATTCCCACTGGTTGAAAAGTGGAGCTTTTGAGAAATTCCAGGGTTTTTTAAGTGGTCTAGTGGCTTCTTAAGGAAGTTCATGGGTAGAAAGGTTCTGAAGAAGTTCTAGTGAACTTCAGGAAGTTCATAGAGCTTTCGAGCAGTGCCACATTTTTTTTTTTTTTTTAAAAGATTTGAAAGTACATGTTCTTAAAGAGGTTCCTGGTGGATCTGAAGAGGTTCCAGTGGTTTCTGAGGAGGTGTGTGGTTCTTAAAGAGGTTCCACAGAGCAGGCTCAAAAACCCACACTAGTACCAGCCCAGAATGAAGGTTTCAGATGGTTGAAAATGAGAGGTTTCTAGGGGCTCTTGAAGAGGTTTGAAGGCTTCTTCAGGAGGGTCCACAGGTACTTCAGGATCCTGGAACACTTCAGGAGGTTTCAGGAGTCTCTCAAGAAGTTTTATTGGTTTTTAAAGAAATTATACAAATCTTTGAGGTGTTTTCTAGATTTACTGAAGAGGCTCCAGTGGTTCATGTAGAGACTGTTAGTGGTCCTGAGCTTCTTTAAATAGTTCCTGGGAATCTTTGGGAAAAGATGATTCTGCAGCAACCTCACACATCTGACCTCCGCCTTCTGAATAGGTCACATTGTGTTAGTTAGTGAGCTTCATTGTGATCACACAGGAATAAACACTTTATTGACTTTGAATATGGAAATATTTGAAAAGATATTGACGAGAACCGATATATAGCTGCCTCTCATGGGCGATACCTGTAAGATAATGTTTTTAAGGTTCATAACCTGTATTTTTTATATACCTGAGGGTGAAAAAGGCTGAGATAACAAAAACAAACAACAGTTCTGACTCTTCAAATATTCATTTATTTTTTCTAGTAAAGCTCATCAAAAAAACTTCACAAACATACTTTGGCTTTAATAGAACATAAAGAAAATATATATTTCCCATTATTGTCAGATAATTTTATTAGTATATATAAGTCCCAATAGTCATGCATCCCTAAAAGATATAAAAGATTTGATAAAACTGTAGCTCAGTAAACGTCTGCAATTCATCACAAATCAATCAATTAATTATTAACCTGCTACCTGGACATTGTGTCAGATGATTCAAATCATTTATTATTAGTAAAATACTCAATTCTATTACACTTTAATCATCTGTTTTTTAAGATTAAATGTTTGTGAGCTGTTCCTGTCGGCACATCAGGGCTTCCGTACAGTCCTTTAACAAAAGTGTCAGCGAAGTTTTAGTGTTTCTACTTGAGTGTAAACTCCTGTTAAAGCGAAACACTAAAACTAATTCAAATCCATTTTACCTCACAGCAGGTGATCGGCCTCGATACCAGACATGTTTCAGCTCTGGCAAAACCATTACATCACTGTATGTGTGTGTGTGTGTGTGTGTGTGTGTGTGTGTGAAAACCTGCCTGTCTTGGCAGTGGTCTAAAAGCAAGACAATGTCCAGGATTTAAATTTCACTCTCATTAAAAGAAAACCTTCTTCTATTCAGAATAGCTGTGTATGTGTGTGTGTGTCAGATGAAAGAGCACTTGCTACAGTTGTCTAAGACGAGGCCAGATGAGCAGCACACAGACAGAACGCACACACAGAAACACACCACACACAACACACACACAACGACAGTCAATCAAAGGTTCTTTGTGTCTTTATTAAAGCTCCAATCAGGAATCGAATCCAACAAAACATCAAGGAGTTTCTGTGGTTTTGGAGCCGGTTTTAGCTGCGTCCCGTCAGTATAACTGCTGGTCACTGCTATCCCACAATGCATCTGTGAACTGGCAGTGGTGGAGGAAATATTCAGACCCTTTACTGATGTATAAATACTCTGTTACAAGTAAAAGCCCTGCACATTTCAAATGTGCAACGAGAATATAATGCAGTGTTAGGCTGTGCCAGTTATTTACGGTGAGAGCTCATTTTGTATCAGACTGCAACTAATGATTGTTTTCATTATGGATCCATAGTACTGATTCCAGTAATCCATTGATTGATGGGTTTGTAAAATGATCTGAAAATAGTGAGAAATCAGCAGTGTGTCATCTCCATAGCATCAACTCTTTGTATATCTGTTCTGCCTGTCTCTTCAGTATAAAATGAGGATATTGATTGTGAGTTATTGCTACAGTTGCATTTTATTGATGAAACAATGAAAACTCTCACTGAAATGAGAGTCGCTGTTGAAACAGGTGACGCTCTAAAACACTGGAGACTGCAGCAGCACCGTCAGCCAGTTAAGACGACTCGTTTACACCGCTGCAACTTTTCATCTCTCTTTGGTCTGAACTGGTCTTTACTCTTTACTCGGGCACCATGTCTCTCTTTTTCTCTTCTTATCTTCCTCCATCAACGTCCTCTTAGGTCTCCTCTGCCATTAGCTATGTCCACAGAGGCTGCTGGGCCCGGTTACGTTGCCTCCTCGTCTGGCTCCGGTTCTGCTACGACACCTGAGCGGACATCCTCCTGTATTTGACTACAGCTTTCCTCTAACAGTGGCTTTAATTTGGCACATACTAAAATACAGTTAGAGTTTTCAAGGACAACAGAGATTCTTTCCAGGATATTTGGTCATTTTAATTAATTTCCAGGTGTTTCCATGACTGGAAAACTAGTCTAACAAGCTAACAGCAGCTACATTTGGCAGAGGTTACTTAACTGTCTTTCAGGAAAGTCTGGAAATTAGAGAGTTGAGGCAAAAACATTCTGTAGGTAGATTAATATCTTGAGTGTTTCCTGCGACGTGAGAACTTTCCAGAAAATGAAACCGATCTCAGACAGACAGACGGACATCAGGGAGAGTCAGTTTACAATCTCCTTCTGTCTGTCTGTCTGTTTGACCACCGTCACTGTGAATGCTGCCATCTGTCAGTGCCTTTGTGTGTGTGTGTGTGTGTGTGTGTGTGTGTGGACACTCGCTGCATGCCTAAGCAGAGCGGTCTGAAGCCTGAATGGGGCTGTAAGTCTCTATTCTGCCTCTGACTGACAGCAGGAGCACAGGAATGCATTTAGCTACACTGTGATGAATGAGCTGATGTACATATGAAGGATTTCCTGGCCACGCCCTCTTTGGCAGCCATATTTGGACGTCCTGAGCTCACCGTTTCATCGCCTCATTCGTTTACGCTTTAATATCTTTACTTTAACTTACTTACGTTAAACCCATTAATGTCCTCCTGACCTCTCTCATGACCCCCAGAGGAAGACAGGTAGTCCGTCTACCTGCACAGGATGTTTGCATATTTGGGCTTCTGGTGTCTGAGTGTGAGAGAGCGTTAAGCTTTTTGTCAGGGTTCAGTTGAGCTCACGGTTCACCACACACACACTCGTAGTTCAAACATCACAGACAGGTAAATGGATTACCTGTCTTCCTGTGAGAGAGGTTAGACAGTGTAGAGCTGTAGAAGTTGAGCTGACACCAAAAGAACACAAAGAACCACTTTACTAATATTATTTTTAGTTCAATTCCTGTGGGATTTTTCTGAATTTCCTCAAGAAAATACATCTATTTTAGTGGTTTAAGAGATAACAGCTGAGTAACGCTGTCTGTTTTTCACAATTTTAGCTCCTCTGTTCCAATAAAGGAAAAGATCTGATGCTACAGTGGTTCTCAACATTTTTGGTGTCAATTAGGGATGAGATTATATACAATATAATCCACTCATCTTATCTTGTGGTGAATTAATTGGCATTAATAATTATAATACAATAGGTCATGATCCTAAATGACGATTACTTTTTTTGTATATTAAACATATGATATGTCATTAATGCCACTAGGAGGTCTCTCACATTAAAACAAGAACAAAAGAGGAGGTTTGATGAGGTGGTGAAGCAGCGTGGGATCATGGGAGTTGTTGTCTTCACCACCATTGGCGTCATTGCAGTCAGCT